ACCCAGCACACTGAGCTGCTGTGGCTGGTGGCAACTTCGTGTGTGCATACTAGGATAGGAGACTCTTGCCTTTGGACAGAGCCACCCCGTTTTTTAATCTGGCAAACTGTCATATCCCTCTATGGACATTAAATATTACACAGTTCAGAGGCCCCTGAACATGACTCCTCACACAGCCTCCAGCTCTGGAGCCCAGGCAAGCCTTTCCAGGACAGCTCCACGGTACGCTCCGCTCAGTATTTTAAAAATCTAACCCAGAATTCCCCTGCTGGGAACCTGCCCTAAGGAAAGCACTCAAAAGAAAAGTGTTATATGCATAAAATATGTTCACCACGGTGGGCTCTATAAATTAAAAATTGAATGCAACTTAAATGTTCAACATCTGGACGTCATAAGTAATTTATGTCACATAGAATCAATAATGCCATGCAGTAATTAAAACGGTAACTGTGATAACTATAGTCACAAAGTATATGGTCTTCATATTGTTACATAATATCTTACAGAAAATATATGAATATTGGACAAGGTCAGGAAAGCACATCCCAAAAATGAAGACCATCATTGAAGTCATTCATTTAACTCTCTAATTAAATGTCCTTCACTTTGGTCCAGAAAATTCTGAAGAGGACTATTGTACACTTACTTGTTTTCATAGGATGCTGGAAGTGGGGATTTATGCTTGTGTATATGTGTGTCTTGCTAGGGATTGAACCCAGGGCCTTGTGTCTGGAAGGCAAGAACTCTACCAACTGAGCTATACCCCAGCCCAAGGGGATTTACACTTTTAAAAACTCTTTGGGAATTCACTCTAAGGAAGCCAGCATCTGCTCATTGTTGTATTACTTCTTCTACTGTATTTTAATGGGAACAACAAATGTCCAATAATAAGGGATTGGTTAAACACAATGGAATGCAGTGCTTCCAATCAGAATTATTAGAAGAAGAATAACATAGAGATGCATCTGATACATTAAATAGACAAAGCAAATTGCAAAAGTAGCTTTAATGACTGTTTCCTATTCTATAATTTTTTCCTTTTTATTTTCTTTAGGTTTTTTTTTTTTTTTTTTTTTGGTTTGGTTTGGTTTGGTTTGGTTTGGCTTTTCTGATCTGATTGAATCCAGGGCTCTTAGCCACTAAGAGAACCCACATCCCCAGCTCTTTCTATTAATTTATTTATATTTTGAGACAGTTTATTGCTAAGTTACTTAGGGCCTTACTTAGTTGCTGAGGCTGACCTCAAACTTAAGATTCTCCTGCTTTAGCCTCCCAAGTCACTGGGATAACAGACTGCACTGCCAAGCCCAACAATTTTTTTTTTGCTTTATAGAAATAAAAATTATTTGAGCATAGAAGTGTTCCCTGATTTTTAAGCCAGATAATTTTTTTTAAAGAGAGAGAGAATTTTTTAATATTTATTTTTTTATTTTTCGGCGGACATAACATCTTTATATGCACGTGATGCTGAGGATCGAACCCAGGGCCACGTGCATGCCAGGTGAGCATGCCACCACTTGAGCCACATCCCCAGCCCAAAGCCAGATAATTTAAAGATAAAAATATCCAAGGGTTAAGAGGTAAAACTAAAACACTCTTAGAAAAAAATACAAACATATATTTGCATAACCTTGGATTACACAATTATTTCTTACAAGTACCACCAAATGCACAAAAACAAAAGCTATATAGATAAATTGAACTTTATCTAAATCATTTAACATTTTTTGTGACAAAGAACACCATCAGGAAAGTGAAAATATGACCCAGCATGGGAGAAGATATTTGGAAATCAAGTATCTGATAAAGGGCTAGTATTCAGAATTCATAAAGAATTCTTACAGCCAACAATTAAAAGACAAGTAATTCAAAAATGGGCAAAATATTTGATTTAACATTTCTCAAAGATGTACAAATGGTGAATTCAGTGAAAAAATGTTCCACACCACTAGTCTTAGGGAAAAGCAAATCAAAGCCACACTGAGACCCCATTTAAGAGCTAAAATTAAGAAGACAGGCCACAGCAAGTGTAGCAAAGATGTGGAGAAACTGGAGCCCTTGCACATTTGTGGCAGGAATGTGTGAGATGCTGTGGCCATTTTGGAAGACAGTTTGGCATTTCCTCAAAGAGTTGAACATAAGGTTCCCTTTTGACCCAGGAATTCTACGGCTAGGTGTGTTCCCCAGGGAGAGAAACGTGTCTACGTGAAGACTTGTACAGGGACCTGCGTAGTAGCCCCGCTGATCCTGGGCGTGAGGGAGCCCCGAGGGTCCCGCCGTGGAGGATGGACTAGCACCTGTGACATGTCCACACAACGGGACTCTGCTGGCCACTAAATGGGTGACTGATTAACACAGGCTACAGCATTGTGCTCAGGGAAAGAGGCCAGACTCTAAAGGTCACATACTGTGTGATGCCATTTATAGGGAATAGAGCAAACCCCTGGAGAAGGGGGTCGATTCGTGGGTGGCAGGAGCTGCCGGCCCGAGGAAATGGCAGCGCCTGCGGCTGAGGCGTGTGGGGTTTCTTTCTGGAGTGAGAAAAAATGTTCTGGAATTAGTCGTGAAGTTTGCACGCCTTTGTGAATATACTAAAAACCACTCTAGCGTACACTTTATAGAGGTGAATTCTATGATACGTGAGTTCTATCACAATTTCGAAAATATGGTGCTTGTGTGAAAGAGAGAGCAAATGTGAAGACTCATTATTTACAGGCCCTTTCAAACCCAGATAGTGCAACGGGGACACCACAGCCTAGGACTCCTGGGTCTCCCACTGATGACCTCAAGGAAAACATCTGATGATCTCAGCAGAAAAGCCAGATGCTTCCCCTCCATGGGGGACAGCAGGCCATGTTCACATGGAGATCGCAGATACTGCTGGTGACTGGGGGGAGCCACATTGTCTTAAGGTGATCAAATCTCCAAACTTTAGGTTTAAGTATTTAACTGGTTGGACATTGGATGTGCACTCTAGTAGAATTGCCAAGCCTGCTGCATTTTTATTATTGTTATTTTATTATGAACCTAATGTCTGGGGCACAGTATAGCAGCTCCAACCCCCTGCAAGTCCTGTTGCTTTGCCTGTCCAGCCAGGTTCCTGCTCCCCTGTTTTCTGTGCCTCTCGGTACCAGACATCACCTCCTATTGTTGAAAAGATGCAGAATTCTGAGGCCCAATATCTGCTGACAATAGGCCATCAACTTTTTGATCTTCTGAAGCTGCTTCACATTTACCTGTATTTCCAACTGTGCTCTGAAACCTTCTTAGAAGCTTCCCTGGCACAGGGTCCCCAGTGAAGGTGACAGCGATGTGAAGACACAGGGCTGCTTCAGGCTGAAGAACCAGCACTCACAGATGGATGAGATCTGCTCCTCTCAGGAAAGCTGCAGAACTCTCCCCTTTGGTCCCCTGGCCATTGGGACCACAGTGGAAGGTCTGAAGGCCAGATGCTCCCAGAGATGGGGGACATGGGGGTGCTGAGCCCAGCCTTCCTGCCAAGCCGGGAATCTATCCAGGAAGCATCCTGGGTGGATGGCCTTCTGTCCCTGGGACAACGCCCGGTCTAATAGGCAGCTATGACTTGCATTCTTGCTCAGGCGAGGCTGGTATCTGACCCACTATGGCTTTGCCCCTAGTTTCAAGCTCTTTGCTGTAAAGCCCCAGTTTAGGGAAAAGTCCCTCAGATGTGTGACTACAGCCACCAGGCCCAGACCCGGATTCAGTGACACTGAGAGCAGAGGAGGACCAAACTCTACCCCGCGTCTCCACTGCAGAACCTGTGGCCACACACTCAAACCACCTGTAGTGTAGCAAGAAAATCCTGAATACCACTTTCTCACGGTGTTCAATGAGAAATGCTTTAAGAGATGTCCCATGCAGCCCAAAGCAGATCTTTATTGTCTATATTTGGAGAGAAATCTCCGTGGCATACTTCAGGGCATGGGATTCTGCTAACAAAGTCAAGGGGCAATTGCTCTGGTTCCCCTTCTCCCCTGCAGACGCTAAGTCAGGGTCCCTCCCTCTTGAGCCCTCCTCTGTTCACTCAGGCAGTACCTGCCCAGCTCCACCTGGATAAGAACCCTCTGGAAGGTTGGTAAGTGGAGCAGTTCTGGCCTGGTCCCACTCACCATGGACAGGACCGTAGACAAGTCCCCACTCCTGGTTGTACTCATTGGTAAAAGAAAGGGCTATGATCCCCGAGGTCCTCTCTACCCTAATGGCCTTGCTGTGTCCCACCCAGCTCTATTTGTTCGGAGCTCCTCCGTCAGGCCTCAGATGGGCAAATGCCCTAAATGATAAACCCTCATGTTGCCCAGCCAAACCCATCAGAAAGTCAATGAGGACTCGCTCCTCCAGATGAGCAGTGATGGCATGGGCTCTGTGGATTTAGAAAGATAGCCTTTCCCGTATTCCTTGTAAAGAAAACAAAATGCCATCATAAATTAACTTGGTGACTCTGCCAGCCAAGAACCACTCATCCCTCCGAGGTGCTGGCTGATGCTGTGACGTCTTGTGACTCTGGAGAGACCCTGAGGACACAGAAAGGATGGAGAAGGTTCTGCGGGTGTGATCACATGATGGTGCCTCGTGGTGGGGGCTGGGCTGGGTCTGGGGAGTGGGCTGCTGGCCTGGTGCACGGAAGAGCCCAGGGGACAGCGCCAGGCGGAGCAGCTTCCATCCTGGGGTCTTGGGTTCCTGGCTGTGACTGGATGTCCAGTGCTCAGGAGCAGGAGCTACTGCCAGGAGCACGGGGGTCACCAAGAAGATGCTGCTCCAGCATGCCTTATGCCCTGTTTCAAAAGAAACCCAAAGTCGGACTGACAGCACTGAGTCACAGCTCCCAGGGCCGCCTCCACCCAGCCCGGCCGAGTCCTGTCTGTGTGGGCAGCAGAGAGGGTGGACCAACGCCTGCAGGGCTCGGGAGCTACAGGAAAAGCCACCAAGAGTGAGCAACGGCCAGAGCCTGCCCCCCCCCCCCCCCCCCCCCGTAGCTGCAGGAGTGGCCCAGGACCCGGGGCAGGCAGGCAGGCAGGACGGGCGGGAATCCCAGGCAGCTCCTAAGGGTGGGAAATGCAGCAGAAAGGGAGGTGAGCAGCAGGGACAGCACTTGCCCGATGAGCCGGGGGGCCTCTAGGCCCAAGCTGCCCGCACAGCACCACAGCAGAGCCTCTTGTCTTTCCTTGATGCGTCCAGGGGGCCAGCCTCCTGGGCTGCCCTGGACAAGGTCCCTGGCTCAGTGACACGGAGCACAGAGCCTGGCACAGAGAGGAAGCAGTAGAAGTTTACAGGGATGCAGGGGCCACAGTGTCTGCAGAGCCAGAGCCAGCCCTGGGCACGGTAGGCCATGTGTCCCCATGGCCACCCCTCCTCTCCTCCCGATATTTCCCTCTCCCTGCAGGACTCCCAAATCCTCAATCACCGCCCACCTCAAAGCTCCCACAAGCAGCATTTGACACTGGCATTCGCCACAGCACGTCAGTCTCACAAACACCCTGCGACCTTGGGCTTCTATCCCGATTTTCCAGATGAAGAAACTGAGGCTCAGGCAGGTTGATTAACCTGAGTGGGATCACCAGCATGTAAGTAGCAGGGTCCAGCCTGCCCAGCGACCTGGAGGCCAGGGGAGGCCCCACCCATGGCCTTCCCTGGTGGCTCAGTCTCCTCCTCTGCTCCCTCCTCCTGAGGAGAGAGGCTGAGTCAAGGATCCCAGTGGAACAATGCCTAGAAAATATGTGGGGAACATTTCTCCTCGTTGAGATTGGTTCTTGGCTTTCCTCAGGGCAAGCCTTGGGCTGGGTTTCCATCTGGGCAGGGCCATGCGCCCCCATGCCCAGGGATTCCCTGTCACAACTATTTGTGACTAACGGGCTCACTACAGCCAACCAGGGCACCCCAGCAGCTCACTGCACCGGCCCCCACTGGTCTGTCCACCCTCCGTCCATTCTTCAGCTGACATGTACTGAGAACCTCCCCTGTGTCAGGCGTCAGAGCACAGAAATGGATAAGGTGTGGCCTTGGTGGTGGGAGGTCACAGACCAGCAGAAAACAGCTTTCATGTGCATCCTCGGTGAGACAGTCGTGTTGCAAATGTCATTCCACTGCACGTCGACCACCTTCAAGGCCAGGGTGATGAGCTTCATGTGACATAAAGAGGTTGCTGAGAAGCACCCAGAGGTGGAACACTGTCTCAAGTCACCATGTTGCTGACTTGGACTGTCGGAACCAGGGCCACACATGGGGTGGCTTAAGCAACACCTATTCATTTTTTCACAGTTCTGGAGCCTGGAAGGGCAAGACCCAAGTTTGGGCAAACTTGGGGTCTGATGCAGGACCTCCTCCTGGCTTACAGACACCTGCTTTCCTGCTACATCCTCACAGAGAGAATTCTCTCCCTTTCCCCCCCCTTCTCTCCTCTCTCTCTTCCTTACCCTTCTCATAATGTCACCAATTCCATCACATTTGGACCCCTTCCTTACAACCTCACTTGACTTCCATCACCACGCCAAAACTATCTCTGAATACCCCCACATTTGGGGGTTAGGGCTTCAACATGTGAATGGAGATGGTGTGGGGGGGGGGGGGCAGGCAGAATTTAGCCCATAACAGTCACTGGGTCTGTGTCAGAACAAGATTCAAAACTACCAAAACCGGCGTCTTCCTGTTCTGTTGCCCTGGCAGCCTTTGGTCTTACCACCTACAAGCCGACTCTCCAAAACAGTCCGGGAGACATTCTCGGCCCCAGCCGTGTGCTAAGTACTACCAGTTCTGTGGGTGGTGCCAAGATTCCTACGTGTCAGGACGGGAGGGCACCCCTTCTCACATGTTGAGGTGTGTGTCCCTTGGATTTTGCTACATCTGCCCCCAGTCGGCACAATTCAAGCAGAAGCCCAAAGCAAAGGTTGCAAGGTCACATGCATTTTGGAGTTTCTGTTTACCTGCCCTCTGTCCTGGGAAGGCATTTGCCTGTGGGGAAGAGCAAAGTACAAGTCCTTCTGATTGCACCTCCTCAGGGCAAAACCTCACACAACTCCCTGCTGATCTGACAACTCTGTTGTTCCCTGCGGGTGGAGAAGAGAGCAAAGTCCACTGTCAAAGGAGAAAACTCCTGCCCTGTTAAGGCCCATCCCGAAGCCACGAGGACCTCAGGTGCTCGGGGGAATTGCAGGACACAGAGAGTTGCAGACAGAGCAGCAGTTGATTTCACCGGCCTGTCCCTTGTCACCTCTCACAAACCAAACTTCTGTTGCCTGCTGGAATTCCAGCTGGGGACATTCTCCGTCAATTTACTTTTTCCCACGACCAGAGAATACACTGGTCCTTTGCGAACATTGGAAATATGCAAAATAACCCCTAAGTAATCAGGCCCCACTGGGCTGTGTCACGCTTCTTCTAAGTGGATCACACGTAAATGGTGTTACAAATGTGGAGAGCACCCCTCAATAACACAGCAACCCCGCTAACTAGACGTATGCACAGTGTATCCATACCGAATGTAAGCTAGCACGCTCGGATGCCCAGCAACGCACTGGAGAGGCCCCAGGGCCACAGTGGCCATTGCAGGGCTGACACAGGTTCCTGCAGGCAAGTCCATGAGACGCTGACTGAAGAGCAAGCCTGGTCCCTGGGTACAGCAGTCCTAGTGTCTTCCCTTGTTCTCTTATAATTTGAGTGACCTTCAACTGTAAGCCGTGATGGCCTCCACTTGATCTGCAACAGCCTGAACAGAAATACAGCACTGATCTCAGAGGGTCAGGGAAGAGAAAGCCTGCCCACGCCGTGACAGTAGGAAGACTCTATGACCACAGGTGGTCACAAATGACCACACTACAGCAGAGCAGGAGGAGTAAGTGCCAGTGTCCTATGGCACCGTCAAGTGACTACAGTTTTACGACGATGTATTTCATATTTGACTAAAGAACAGACGAGAGGAATCTGAAGTTTCCCAACTCGAAGAAATGACAAATGTTAAGGAACTGAAAATGCTAATCACCCTGATTTGATCCTTGTAGGAGGTATCCTCGTATTGATTACTACACTGTACCCATAAATATGCACAACTATTATGTGTCAATTAAAACTTTTTGAACCTCAAAGAAAAAATGAAGATGACCACGCTGGGCTCAAGAAGAGCTAACACAGTGTCTCGACAAGAAGATCCCCTCACGCAGGCACAGCCAGTCTGACCCAGATCAATGGACACTCCAACTAGCCAAGTAAGGCCGGGCTGCCATCTGGCTCTGCATCCCAAGGCCTCATCTGTCCTTACGGCTCCTCCTGGGTGTCAGTGTGGCAGTTTTGTGGATAACAAAGTGAAGATTCTGTTCAGTTACCTGCAAAAAAAAAAAAAACTGACTTCAAAAAGTAAAAAGAAAACCAAGGAGCCCCCTCCAGGTCAGCTACTGAGGGAGGGCAGGGTCCTGTTGAGAGAACTAAACACCTGCTTCTTGTCCCCTTTGCCCCTGACAAAGGACACCAGCTTGGTCTAACTCAACTGCCACCTGGGAAGGCAGGACGGAGCCCGGGCACCGCACAACCCGGCACATTCCTGCTCAGCACGGGAAAGGCTACCCGCCCCTGCTTCAGGCTTGTGTTGGAGCACTGAGTGCACATGTGACCCTCGGGATCCTGAAAGTCACCCGGGGCTCCCGGCTGGCCAAAGCCGTGTGGTCACCGGGCCAGTCCCCCTCCACACCCACAACAAGAAGGGCCTGTCTGTCCTCTCTGACTCTCATCCCCCGGTTGGTTTGTCTTGGCTTTGATCTTCAGGAGTGCGTGTGTACAGAGCCACCCTGAACAGAAAATGCCTTTGTTCCCTCAGAAAACACCAGACACCTTCTTTCCCTCAGTGGGAGTTGGAGCTGCCACCTCGGGACTAAACACTGGAAAAGACCAGACCTGGCTTCCCCCGGGATGTGTCCAGCCTGGGCACTGCGGCTGGCCGCTCCGGCTGAGGAGAAGCACTTCACCTGCCAACGGGGATCATAAAGTTTGTTGTCAAATGTTGAGAAACATCAGCGCTCACGGGATTAGTGGCCTTGATGGGTGAAAACTCCCTGTTGCCCGGGTCATGGGAGCAGTGTGTCCTTCACCACGCCACTCAGTGAGGCTTAGCTGTGAGGGCCCAGGGTGACCCTGTCGGACCCTCTGCCTTCATAATAAGGAAACGGACATCCAGAGGGGCAGGGATTTGCTGAGGCCACAGAATGCTGGGTGCAGAGCCGGGAACCGCCAGAGCTTCGTCCAGCGTCCTTTGGGGCTGACATGTGTCTTCCAAGATCCCTGTGTTGAACTCTAGCTCCTGGTAGCCCAAAAGGGGACTGCATTTGGAGACAGAGCTTTTCAAGCCTATGAAAGTTAACCGAGGTCACGAGGGTGGACCCTGATGCAATCTGTGTCCTTGTTAGGAAGAGATTAGGACATTGACATGCACAGGGGTTGACCACGTGAGGACACAGAAAGAGGATGCCACATGCAAGAGGGAGAGAGGCCTCTGGAGAGAGCCACGCTGCTGGCGCTTGGCCTTGCACTTCTAGCGTCCAGGTGCTAAGAGGACAAGTTCGTCTGTTGAAGCCACCCGGTCTGTGGCACTGTCAGGACCGCCCTAGGACAGCATCCCCTCTGCTTCCCCACACATGGCAGCCATTCAGGGTACAGAGCTTCAAAGTGCATGCTTTAAAGAGATGTTGGGGAAAGTACTCAGGGAGCAGGTGTTAGTGGCATCTCCTCAATGACGTCAGCTTTGCACAGACGGCAATGGAATGTCCCGGAAACCGTCTCCCCGCATGGCCTCCGAGCCGAGTGCCATCAGATCCTAAGGGAGCCAATCAAAGTATCCCAGGCAGCGCTGGCACCCCTGGGAGTGACTAGGTAAGAGGAACAGTGCTCACTTTTAGGAACAAAATCAAATTTCAACAAAGTATGGTGAAAACCTTACAATTAAGAAATTCACCAGGAAGGGGAAGTAGGGGGATTTCTAAGGGAAGCCGAGGTGGAAGCAGGTACAAGAGGATGGAGGAAAACTGAGAACAGAACTCATCCCCAAGAGCGCACCACAGGCCCTTAGTGAGCATGCACTGAGGACCAGCATTCAGGAGGTACAATGTGGGCCACAGAGGATAAAGCAGAGCAGTCCCACCCACGGCCTTGGAACTTGCTGGCTGTGGGAGCTCAGGCAAGTTCCTTAACCTCTTTGTGCCTCAGTCTCCCCGTTATAATTTTAAATAGAAATTACACTAGTACCTTTCTCACAGATGGTGGCACTCTCCAGTTCTTGGCCCAGTGACTGGCACACAGTGACACCCTTAACCTATCTAGTGGGGAAAGTCAGGCTCTAAAAAGCAGTTACAAGAAAATGCCACGAGTGGCCAGGTACAGTGGCACGTGCCTATTATCTGAGTTACTGGGGAGGCCAAGGCAGAAGGATCATAAGCTGGAGGCCAGCCTGGGCAACATATTAAGATCCTGCCTTAAAAAAGAAAACATACAGATAAAAATTCCAGAATGTTCTAATCCAGGTGTATGGAAGTTTTGGACACCCAGCAGAGGTAGCCTCAGACTCTGCCTGTGGTGCAGTGTGTAAAGACAGGTCATAGTGGTGCCTCTTGAGCTGACGCTGGCTGGGCTCTGGGTCTTTTCCGGGAGAGAGAGCGTGTAGACAGAGGCGGGGGCTTGCAGCAGTGCTGCCTATGGGGGACGAGACTGGAAAGAAAGCTGCGTTCAGCTGGGAGAAGTGGAGAGGATCCAGCCAGGACTATCTCCCCAGAGCAGGGGGTTAGCAGGAGGAGGTGGGTCAGATCTGCAGACTGAACGGGTGGCCCTCTGGGAGGCAGGAGTAGAAGGACATGGGAGCCTCCCCAGTTCAGGTAGGAGCCAGCGGGGCTCTGGGGGGTGGCCTCCAGGCAATGCTTCTCGGGCACCGTACTCCAGCCCCCCAGCAGCCACAGGGGGCCAGCAGCACCAGGAAGCTGATGTGCACAGAGCTCCACCAGGGTCTCCTCTTGCCTTGGGGGGATGGAAAGGTGCTCGAGCAGGACCCCAGAATCAGCAAGCATTGGTAGCTCAGGGCAGCTCAAGACTGGCTGAGACCACGTCCCCAAATCAGATCTTCAGCAGAGCTATTGACCTAAGGCCCCACAGTCATCAGAACTTTATTAATGAAAGGAGGAGGGGGCATCTTGATTACAACACACAGAAAACTGAAAACCCAGATTTTTAATATAAAACTAAAATGGACATGGGCGTCAACTACTTGTTTAAATGTTTGCTTTTTTTTTTTGTACCTGGGATTGAACCCAGAGGGGCTTAATCACTAAGCAACATGCCCAACCCTTTTTAATATTGCATTTAGAGACAGGGTCTTGCTGGGTTGCTTAGGACCTAGATAAATTGCTGAGGCTGGCTTTGAACTTGAGAGCCGCTGGGATTACAGGCGTGGGCCACCGCACCCAGCTTTTGCTGCATTTCTTGATGTCGTCTGGGGCTATTCTTCAGGGTCACGTGTGAGAACATCAAGACCTACAGCATCGTATCTGCCTGAGGTCCCAAAGCTAGCCGAAGAGGCAGGCTCGAGCGGGAAGCAGCTGTGGGCAGGGTGCTCATTATCCCAGAACAGCTGACACCAGACAAGGGACAGGGACATAGAGAAAGAGCAAGTCTTGCAATGGACAGGTGCCTCCTCCTGTTACAAGATGGAACATCATGAGCCCCGCGAGGTTCTCAGACACACCACTTCCTGGAGATGGAAGCCGCGTTCCCAGGAGGCGAAATCACCCCCAAACAGTCCTGCTTCTGCAGATGGAGCCTTCCTCGCTCACTCAAGGACTGCTTCCTGCTCTCTGGGTGCCAGCATCTTCCCTTACCCCCGACAAACTTAAAAATGTTGCTGGCTGCATTCACCCCCAAGCCCGCAGGCGTCACAGACACCCGAGGCCGTCCATCAGGCCCACTCTCCCTCTCCAGGAGCCAATGTTCTCCTGCTTGGTGCTTGGAAGCCAAGGCCAGTGGCTTCATTTCTTTCTATTCTGAAACTGATGAGCTAGAGAAAGGTATTTTGCAAAGCGCGGTGGAGGTAGAGTGTCTCCTGGGCTAGCCACTTCACAGACATATGGCCCGCTATCCCACCAGCCACCAAGTGATTATTGGAGCGGCACAAACAGATTTTTTTGTCAAAGTGGAGGTGTGATTTTCTCAGGTTCCCTGAGAACACACACACATATTTTTACCAACCCAATCTGTTTTCTAGCAGCCTGTGGCCGCAGGGCCTGGGAGATCAACTTGGGTGGCTAGGAGTCCCCAGGTTAGCCAGTGTTGTCCCTGGAGGCTGTGAGCCCACCTGGAAGAGACTGAGACCAGCCCATGGGGCCAGCTCTCCAAAGACCCCAAGTAATTCACAAACAGCTCCTTTCTCCCCGACCTGTCTCAGCCTGTGACAGGAAGGACAGCCACAAAGGCTGCCTCCCTCATGACAGGGCCCAGCTGTACAGAACCAGTACTTTCTTTTCTTTAACTCACTACTGCTGATTTAGTTCTAAGATCTCTTTGAAATAAAATTGAGACTTGCAAGAGATACTAAGGTAAAGATGGCAGATAGAACATAGTCCTCTACTGTCATACCAAATCCATCAAACAGAAATTTTGTTTGGCTTTGCCGCATAAATCTGTACTATCCAATATGGCAGCCACTATCCCCATGAGCCTGATTAACACTTTTACTAAGTAATTTCTAAATTCCAGTTTCTAGGTCACAACAGCCACATCCCCAGTGCTCAATAGCCACCAATGTAGTTGGTGGCCGCCATATTGAATAGTGTGGATAAAGAACATTCTCTTCAACACAAAAAATCTTATTGGCAGCACTGCTTCAGACACAGGGAAAAGACTGGGGGTGGGGCACAGCATGGAAAGGCTGGAGCTGCCAAGGAGGTGAGTGGGCATTGGCAGGGCGCACAGAGGGAGGCTGAGTCCTCAGCAAGAGCTGGGGGAACCCAGAAAGCCTACCAGCTCACCCCACCACACGCAAGACTTGAGCAAGAGTGACAAAGAAGGCCACTGAGCCTAACTCTTAAAAAAAAATAAAAACTCTAAAACCAAGATGATAAACTTTATTCAAAGGTTTTTAAAAAATTCTTCTGTCCTCTCCCTTGACACCTTCTTGATGGTGTGAAAGGCCAGGTATCCCTGGCTAGGTCTGCAGTAACAAGTGACCACATGCTGGCTGGGTTTAACAACAGAGATGTATTCCCTGGTGCTGATTCCTTCTGAGGCTGTGGCAGAGGTCAGCACTGGCAATGGCCTCCAATCCTGGCCACTCCTTTCCTTGGAGAGGCATTTCTCAAGCTTCTCACAGGGTCCCCCCGTCTCTGTCTTCACATGGCTGTCTTCTTATAAGCACATCGTCATGTTGACTTAGGACCCACCCAGGTGGGGGGCTTAGCCTGGCAGCACAGGAGCAGGGTTGGGACCTACAGGATGGGGAATTTCAGGGCCTCGTTACCTGAAGAATTTTCTGGAAGGAATGCAGGCTCTGAGAGGCAAGTCCTTAGTCCTTGGCAAGGAGCACACTAGTAGAGGGACCTGGGAACTCTAAAGTCTCAGCCAAGGACCTTCCAGGCAAGAAGCTACCAGTTTTACCAGCGGAATCCACAATGGGCTTGGGATGATGGTACAGCTCCTTCTGAAAATCATGGGAGTGGGGCTATGATCAGAGTTGCTTGAAAATGTGCTTCAGAAGCAATTAGGTCCTCAACTCCCCCACCCTGCACCCCAGCAGAGACAAGGTCCATTCTCCAGAGAGGGGAGCAGGAGAGTGTCTATGGCAGAAGTTCCAGGCACCAGCAAAAGACAGGGTGCAGCAGAAGACAGGGGCCTACCCGGAGGATAGGAAGCTGAATACTGAGCCCACCTCACACCCATCCCCAGGATCCTGCAGCACTCAGGAGTCAGCTCCTCCAACCAGTGACTCTTCCAGCCACCCCAAGGGGACCACGACCACCCCCTTTGCACTCCTCAAGCTCAGAGCCACCTTGTCCCCAGTCTTGCCCCACTTCACCTCACAGAGAAAACAGAAGCCCAGGGTCTGTGGGAACAGGTCCTCCCACCATGGGACCCCCCAGGTGGCCTGAGACGGGGGCTGGCTAGCAGCTCCTCTGCAGGACCAAAGGGACTCAGCTGCATCTCCAGGCCTCCCCCAGGCTAAGACCAGGCCTGTGTGCTTGCCTGGTGCCAGGAGCTGGTGTCGCATACCAGCCTCAGCGGCTCACGCCAAGAGCCCCCAGGCCCGGTGCTGCCCCTCAGGGACAGCTGAACCACAGGGATCAGAGGCACAGCACAACCAGGGAAGTGTCAGGTCATTCCTGAGAATTTGGAATGAGGAAGCGACATTGATCTGGGTGGAGGGTAGTGGGGTGAGGGGCACAGGTGGAGGCTTCTAGCGTTGGAGGAGCCTGAACAGCAAACTCGCCCAAGCCAAGAGTTGCTGGAGGGACGATGTCAACTTCCCTGAGCCTCAGTTTGCTCTCTCTAAAGGGGGGACAGTGGTACATTGGGACCACGGGTGCTAACATGCATCCCTTTCGCACAGTAATGGTGCCTCTCCTTCTCTGCCAGTACCTGGGACATTTTTCTTTGCCCCAGAACAAACAATGTGACTGAAAGTCTTGCTACTCATGGGGCCTCATTACCTGAAGTATTTTCTGGAAGGGATGCAGGCTCTGAGCAGGCATTTCATGTCCTTTTGATAGATGCACGTATTTCCAACAATCACACCTCATAGGAGGTGGGGGAAGGATTGACCTTGTCCCCAAGAGCCAAGCTCAGGGTTTGCAGGCCTAATTCATCCACAGAATAGGCACTGGTGGAGGATCCATGACCTGGGGGGAGATAGATAATAAGTGACAGACTTGGTACATAAATGAGTTACGCAGTAGGTTAAGGGTCACACCAAGAAGGAGAACAAGGGAAGGTCACCCGGGCGGGGAGGCAGGGCAGGTTGAACATTAAGTGCATTGTCAACTCGGGCCTGACTGAGAGGTGAGAGGGAGGAAAGGGGGCAGGGGGAGACCATGGGGGTGGGGGGCGCAGGAGCGCGCCTCTGGGCTGGGAGTGCAGCCGCTGTGTTTGCCAAGTCCTCCTGGAACCCGACAATCCAGACGTCTGGTCCACCCCGGAGCCCCTGATTCTGAGCCTGGGCATGTGCCAGCAGCCAGGATGAGGGCTGCACCTTGCCCAGGTACTCCTGCCTGGCCAGGCTCGTAGTTGAGGCCCTGCCCCCCAGCCCACCCAGATGCCCGCCTGTGACCCTGTCCTGCAGGGACCACCCTACCACAAGAGGAGGCCTCTCAGAGCAGCCTGCACTCTGGGACCTCTGCCTTGGTTGTTGCCCACCCTGGGTCCCACCCTGATCAGCCTGCAGGGCTGGACTCTCCATCCAGCCTGGACCGGGTCCCTCCTGTTGGCCTCAGGCCCTGCTGCAGTGGTCCAGGTCCATGGCCACTGGTCTCAGAGGCTGCAATGACCTGAGTCATGCAGCTCAGCCCACAGGGCCCTCAATTCACAGCCACCAGGAGCAGTGGCTGGGACTGGTGGTGGCCTGCATGGTGTATGGACTGTGGGTGGGGCTTAGAGCAGACAGATGGGTGATGGACAGATGGGTGATGGACAGATGGGTGGACCCCGGGGGGAGAGCACGAGGAGAGCACACTGCCCTATTCCTCCCCAGGAAGCCTCTGCAGAGCCAGGTCTCCTGCCCCAGCACCACTTCCAACCCCACCCCTAACATGGCTGCGGCCCACAGCCCAGGCTCCCCCATGTCAGCCACCCGCTAGCTGGCATCAGCATGGGACCATGGGTGCTGGCTGCACCCTCCTGAGGGCCTCAGCACAGTGAGACGTGGGCCAGTGATTTTCAGCAGAAGAACTATTTCTTCGATTGAAACCTCATAAAGAGCTCCAGCAAACAAACCAGAAAAGTGAAGCCAAAGAGAAAATAAGGCCCTGGCTAGAGCACCCACACCCCAGCAGCCCACCCCGCTCCCCTCGGCTGGGACCCAGGCCTCACAAGCACCCACCAGCCCAGGGGCACCCAGAGCAGGATGATCCCAGCTCCACAGGGGGCAGCGGAGACCAGAGCAGAGGAGCTCTGTGTGTCTGCCTGTGTCTGTGTGTCTTTGTGTCCAAGTCTGTGTGAGAGCGAGAGAGAAATCTCAGTGGATATGGAATTTAACTCTACAGCTAAACACACAGACCATAGTCATAGTCATTTAACCATAAAACTAAAAGATAAAAAGAAAATCCCCAAATTACAGGGATTTTTCTACACAGGGAGTGGTGTGATAAAGAGTTGTGTGACCTCCGTCAGGCTCGCACTGACCTAGGTGGGGTGGGCAAACAGAGAGGACCCTGCCCTTGCCTGCCCCATAAAATCTCAAGGCTGAGGGCCTGGCTGCTGAGGAGGGTCAGGGCCAGTGCCGGTGGCTGGGCGTGGGCCCAGGTGCAGAGCCGCCACACGCCTTGCCACACCTCAGCCTCCCCTCGTGCCAGCAGGCCTGGGGAGCGAAGGCAGATCTCTGGCACTGGCCCCGGAGGAAGCCGAATCAATCAAGGCCCCCACCTTTCAGGGAGCAGCCTCACCGGGACCCCCTCGCCCTCGCAGCCACCCAACCTCACAGCCAGCAAAGGAAAGGGAGAGTTAAAGCAGCCGGTCTTGCTGCCACCTCAGAGCACAGAAAGCCACAGATGGGACCCCAGGCTTATTCTGGAGTCATGTCCCCCGCCATGTCTTGCCTCAATAGGCTCCCCGGCGCCAGGGTGCTAGGGTCAGGATCTCATTGCAATTCCCTTCCAATTCCCTTCTCACCGCAGCAACTGTCCCCACGGCCTCCTTAAGGGAAGAAGGCCAGTCCTGACACACAGCCACACAGATGGCCCCAAGCCAGGAGCCCAGCCTCTGAGGGGTGACCAGGTCAAAAGCAGATCCCCAACAGCCCAGGGGTGGGGAGATAGCAGGTCCCTCTTCCTTCCTTTTTTTGATGCCTTCCTTCCAAAGGACCCCATTCCAGAACTGCTCACACCCTGCAGGACAGCGTCACATGTCCTTGAGTCTTCAGGACCCAGGAGCCTCCTACCCCGGTCTCCATGTGCCTGAGGCCACCCTGAGACTGGCAACAGCATCTGAAAAGCCCTGTGAAAACGTGGTCTTCTTTACTTTTGTGCAGAAAAGAAACCTCGTATTCAGAAGCGCTCTGTGCTGCCAGCATCCTGCCAGGGGGCACCAGGCCTGCCCCTGCCCAGGCCGGGAGGCCCTAACTGGGGAGCCTGGCATGGTGCTCAGAGGCGCCATTGTAGCTCCCTCTTCTTGGCCTCCCAAGCCCCTTCCCCTGGTCTGGGGGCTGTAGAAGTGGCTAGAACCAAGGAGGGATCATCAGGCAGGGAGAGCACCCACCAAGGTGCAGCAGAGGGTGACCCACAGGCCAAGCTCCGTAGAGCCACCCGAGACAGAAATGTGTGGACAGCAGGAAAGGGGCAAAGAAGGGACCACTTTTAAAGACAGCAGGAAGTTAGAGAAGTGACGTCCTTTTGATCCCCTGCAAACGCCTGCCAGCCGGCTCAGATGCCCCACACCTTCTCGTGCACCTTTGGAAGCAAGGATCATCACAGAAGTTTTACAGGTCAGGCAGCCAAGGCTCAGAGAGGTCGTGATGTTTGCTCACAACCACACAAATAATAAGGGCCAAAAGAGGGTTGAAACCATAGAGAGAATCATGGGACCAGCGGGGGTGGGTAGGCAGGGACAAGGGGCAGCTGAGGCCTCAATGGACCACCACCCACGTGCTTCACTCCTCTCACTCTGCAGAGCAGGCCAGGGAAGCCCAGAGCTGTTCCTCTAGAGTATATCTGAGGTCACACAGCAGATGAGGCCCAAACACCCAGAGGCTCGGGTCTGAGCTGCCAGGGCACTGCTCAGCCCCAGGCCGCATGGTCCCTTTGCCTGGACAGCACACTGACCAGCCAAGTGTGGAAGTTGCCTAGTTTTCCTGTTTGATTTTGTGGAACTGGACTCACTGAGCCTTCTCGGTGAATCGCGTTTAGAGAGATGCATTTCTCCCACCCACACCTCACGGCAGGCACAGACCAGAGCCAGCCCCCAGCTGTGGCTGGCCAGCAGCAGCACGAGGAACAGGAGAGTCACATAGGCTATGGCATTAGGAATGGTGTGCTCTGTGCTTTGGGGAAGCTGCCACACAGCCACCAAGAGAAGAGCCCCAACTGTGATCAGATAGTCAACTCACAAGTCACTGCCAAGACCACCTTTCGAGGCCTCTCAGAAGTGAGGGACCTCCAGGTGCCACCTGGAGGGGTGGAAGCTTCACTCCTCCATGCTCGGTTCTGCCCATAAACCCGGGCCCCGTTGGTCTCTCCCGGCCCACCTCCCAGGCAGACCTTGTGACAGAGTCTGTGTCCGAGCAGACCAGCCCCCGCCGGTCTCTTGGTCCACCTGCCAGTGAGGCTTGGAGGAGAGGCACCCGGAGGACAACTCACAGTCACCATCCTTGGCATCCGGGCCTGCCTCGAGCAGGTGAGGGTGAGTCTCGACTCTGTGTCCTCCCTGTGTCCTTGGTGGCAACAGTCATCTCCCAATGAGACTTCCTGGAAGAGAAGGAATCGGACACTTTGTCATACAGGAGCATTTGTTTCTAAGAGCGGAAGGAGGCCAGCCGTGCTCAGCCACCGCCACCCTCAGAGACCAGGGAGGAAGGGAAGGTCAGGGAGTCAGTGTGTCCAGCCACGCAGGCCCGAGGAGCGGGCAAACCGTCACCCCAGGGGCAATGTTTGGGTCAAGTGGTCACCACCAGGGACCACTCCTCTGTAGAACACCAGGGCCTGGGCTTCTCCCCCAGGGTTCTTATGTGAAGGCAACATCACCACTACTGCTGAGCCTGGGCTCCCTGTGCCTTTAAGTCACCAAGTCATGTGTATGCACCTAAGAGGTGAGCAAGTGCTGCCTGTCACCTCTCTTCTTTTTCAGGTGTGTGAACATCCAGAAACGAGCGTGGTTCTAATTTCTACTTGACACGTCGGTGTAGCAAATGTAAAATGAAAGATGTGTCACCTTCCCACTTCCCTTCCTCCCAGGACTCTGAGCGCTGATGGCCGAGACGTTGCTGCAGCCCCGTGCGATGGATGGGGTAAAGTTGGCCAGTGCTGGGTCGGAGCCTGGCCCTGCCTCGTCCAGCAGGCTGCGTGCCCCTGGGGCAGGGGAGACACATGACAAAGGCCTGCTCCACACCGGGGTGCATCCCAGATGCCCAGAACCTCCTGGCCACTGCCACATGCAGGAGGAAAGGAGATGCAGACCCTCCCTGCCACCCGGACAGCAAGACAGCAGCAGCCATTCTTGTGACTCTCGGCCATCGACCCCAGCTGTGCCTCCATCTCCCCATCTCTGAACTGAGGGTCATTGTAGAGTCTACCAAGTAAGCCCTGGTGACCACAGACTGAAATGACGTGTGCAGACCACAGCAGGCTGCTGGGCCTCCAAAAACTGTGCCGATGACCACAACCCAGAAGGACTGTGCTCAATAGATGATCAGCAACTGATGGAAGAAGTTAATAGAAAGTTCAATAGAAAAGACTCTTAGCACCTACATAAATTTTTATGAGTTTGTCTATTTTACCCTCTATGTCATATTAAGGGTCCAACGGCAGGGGACATGATCTTTCCTGTAGCAATACACATGTAATTATTAAATGTCTCTGTATGGACATTATACTTTCATTGAAAATTTCTTGTAAAGGCCAAGCTACCTCTGATATATATAAGTAGCCTTCCATTTTAAGATTCAGGAAACAAGATTTTTACTCATAAAATAATAGAATATGTGCTAACAAATGTACTTTAAAATGGGAACTGCAGGCTGGGCGCCATGGTGCATGCCTGTAATCTCAGCGCCTCAGGAGGCTGAGGCAGGAGGATGATGAGTTCAAAGCCAGCCTCAGCAAAAATAAGGTGCTAAGCAACTCAGTGAGACCCTGCCTCTAAATTAAATTTCAAAGTAGGGCTGGGAATGTGGCTCAGTGGTTGAGTGCCCTGAGATCAATCCCGGTACCAAAAAAAAAAAGGATACTGCAATTGGTTTTACTGATTTTAACCTCAGAAGTCTCAAATTTTTATTTTCCAGGAGCATTACTTTTAAAAGGCTCCTATTCTGGGTAGAGCGCTCACCTCACATGTGCAAGGCCCTGGGTTCAATCCTCAGCACCACATAAAAATAAATAAATAAAAGTTTTAAAAAAAAGGCTCCTATTCTGAGTGAACCTAAATATGATCACTTTCATCCAAAATGAGTCATTCACCTTCTAGAAACTCCCAGAACTTAGGGGTCCACCTCACAGGGCATGGACTGAAGTCCCCAAGAAAGCAAATAAAACCCCAACCCTGTTGGAACAGAGAAGACTTGTGAGAAGGTTTTGAAGCTGGGCTCTTTTGCTTGGAATCGGGAAGTTAAAGATTCCTGCCACGGTGGCCTTTCTTGCTGCGGGACCCCCACTCTGTCCTGCTCTGCCCATGGTCTCCCCAGGACCCAAGATCCCTCCAAAGCCCCTGAGAGATTGCTTCCTCCCACACAGGTCTGCTCACTGGGCCACTTAGTCTCATAAACATGTCCTTCACAAGACCTTGGGGCATTTCGAACCCCAGTTAATCCTCAAGCAAACTGCTCCTGGATAAAAAGTTACCGGCGTTCTCGTGGCCCCACAAACCCAGGCCACCCCACACTCACCACATGCCTCCCTTGGGAGAAGGGCTGGGCCCACGGAGGCTTCACAGTGGTGGGCACTGCCTCAGGGACATGGTCTCCTGGGAGAAGACGGGGGGCTCACACCTGGCCTTTGCTCTTCCTGCTGTGGGGCCCAGGCTTATCTGCTCAGCTTGAGCAATCAGCTTCCAGAACCAGAAAAGGGCCACCTACTGCAGCTCCGGCCCAGAGACGTGAGGAGTGAGGAGTGCTGTGCGGCAGGGCTCGGGCTAGCTAGGGGAGGGTGAAGAAAGCCCAGTTCTCTGAGCAGGGCCCTAATGAGGCATTGCCTGCTGGAAGACCAGGTGAGAGAAGGTTCCAGAACCTCTGGTTCACGGGTTCCTCACGCCCTGTGGCCCCTTTTTCGCCACAGGCCTGTGCACATGGAGAACGGCTCCCTGAACCATGTCAGGCGAAGGATGCCTGAATAGACGGCTTTCTACTGCTGCTCTACACATCATCACGAACACGGATTTATCACCCCCAGCTTCTGCAGGCCAGGGCCTGAAGCGGGTCTCAGTGGGCCACTCAGGATGTGGGCAGGGCTGTGTGTACTGGAGGCTCTAGGGAAGACCTGTTCACGCGGCTTCTCCATCTTCTCTGGCTACCTGCTACCTTTAAAGCCAGCTGCCGCCACTCAGGTTCTCGCATGACATCATGAGGACATCAGCAATCTTCTGCCTTGCATGGGAGCACCCTCTAGATTACATCAGGCCCACCTGGTAGCCCAGATCATCTCCCGTCTCCATATCCTTAACTTACTCACATCTGCCAAGTCCCCTTGCCAGGTGTGTGCCATATTATCAGGGTCTGGGGCGTTGGGCACGAACATCCCTGAGGGCTGTTATTCTGACCACCAGAGTCCAGGTAATTCCTACAGGACATTCTGTGACCGCAGAGACATCATTAGGTCCAGGCCAGAGCCTGGGAGCAGCCAGCTGACTTTAGGGCCCTCACCTTGGGCTGACTTTGTAATCGGGGAGCAAAAGTCCCTGGGTGCAGTCCCCACAGATCTTGTTTTGTGAAGACACCTGTTTGGGTGTCTCATTCTTCAAGGAGGTGACTTTCCTAGTAAGTCATGGGCGGGAATCAACCACAAGGGCTGAGTGTGGGGAGAAGACTCCTGGTATGTAGGTCATGGTCCCTAGAGGGGAGATGGAGCTGGAGAACAGGAAGCATTCAGGCCATGAGGGTGTCTGGGGGACACCAATAGGGGCCCAGAAGTAGGAATGAGATAGCATTGTTATGAGAGTCCTAAGGGACTCAGGAGGGCCTCTGGGACACAAGTACCATTATCAAAAAGGGTGGCGGCACCCATCACAGATGCAGAGAGAGAGGGTGGCCTGGCAGGGCAGAGAGAGAGGGTGGCCTGGACATGGCCCCCACTCAGGACACGTGGGGAAGGGATGGAGCTAGCGACAGCAGCCACAGCCTGGGAGAGGCTTGCTGGGTTAGGGGCACCAGAGTTAGGGGCATGGCACAGCCCTGCTCCTTCCACCCAGAAGACCCTAAATGTTGCTCAGGTCTCTAGAAACCAGCGATATGCAACCCTCAGACAAACAGCATCCTGAAACCTCATTTGATCCACCCACCTACAGGAAGAAGGCTCCGTTAACCCTTCTCCAGAAGCCACAAGGCCTTCAGGGTCACCGAGCAGGTAATGGTGGCTGTTCCCAGAAAATCCCCAGGGGCTGAGGCAGGGGGGAGCTGGGGGCCCCATTTCCTGTTCAGGGGCCAGGAGCCTCCGCTGTGCTGCTTCAGTCGCCTGGTGAAGTCTGGGCAGCTGTGGGGTCTCGTGCTGAGGTCGGGCACAACAAGCCTGCTCCCTCGTTCCCATCTCAGCCGCCCTGCCAGCTGCAGAGGCTCCTGCCAACTACTTAACACTCGGAGCCGCAGTCCTGCAGATCCCGCCTCACCTGAGGACCCATCGAATGCCGGTTCCCTTTCCCTCGCTCTCTCCTTCTCCTTACTTACTCGAGTCAAGCCAAGTTGACTTTCCTAATCAGCCTCACTAATTTCCGGTCCTGGCTGTTTCCACAACTATGACGCCTTGCTGTTGGGGGCCACGGTCTGAGCTTCCTGCCGTCTCCCCGTGTGGGCCACATACCAAAGGGGCGGGCGAGGACTGGGGTCAGCCCCTGCCCAGGGCAGTGGTGCAGGCAGCTTAATCATTAACTCTTTCTCGGATGCAGCCAGCCTCCCACGCACATTCATGAGAGGCTGACCCTTCCTCTCCTTCAGCATAACTCGGCCGCCCACATGACATGAGCACCCCCTGTTCCTTTGGGAATCACTCCTCCTCCAGCTATTTGTCACCGCAAAGTCTTCTTGTGTGGACACCTCATTTGTAGCTTAACAGCCCCAGCCCTCAGTCTCCGCCCTGCTTCCTTCCCGGGTCCTGCCCTCCCTCACCCCAGGGTCCCCCAGCACTTCTCAGCACCCTGCCCTTTCCTGGACAGCAGTGTCTGAGTCACCAGCTCTGGCCACCTCCAGATCATTGCCTGACCCACTTTCCTCTGAAGCACCCTGCTTCTTGAGGGAACTCCTGCCTTCCTTCCCTCCTCTGGGCAGCCACCAGGGTCACAGGGAAGAGCATTTCCCTCCTTTGGCCTGTCCCTGGTCCTTTCATCCATTCTGCTCCTTTGAGCCACTCTTCTAGATTCGAGGCTCCCCATTATGGATGCAGCACCCAAGTTCAAGTCCTCTTTCTGGCTCGGGCCCCTGGCTCTGGCACCCGGCTGCACCTTGCGCATCCCCAGGTCTGAGCAAGTGGTGGCCTTGTCTGCCTCCCTGCCCCTGCTCAGTTCTTCCTCCGTCTGCGAAGCCCCCTCCCCGTCTCCCCCTCAGCTCCCTCCTGAAGGTCCACTGGGTCCCTGCCTCCATCCCTCTTCCTCTGCTGGAGAGAGACGCGGCTCCCAGCTGCCCTCGCTGCTCCTTACAGACAGCATCTCCCCTGTGGCCTCCCCAAGTTAGCTGGCGCAGAGCCATCAAAGCACGCAGCAGACCGAGGTGAACACTGGGCGGGGTCAGCAGGACCACGCTGCCACGGAAGGTGCTGGAGCAGTCCCCTCCCTGCCTCTCTGCAGCTCCCGCCTGCCAGCACTGCTTGATGTGCCTTGGCTTGTGGGCACATCACTCCATCACTACCTGGTGTCCTCTGAGAGTGGCCAGACCTCCCTCTTCTTGTGAGGACACCATCACTGGATTAGGGCCCTACCCGTAAGGCTTCATCTTCTCTATGCCTTGCAAACTCTCTGTATCCAAATAAAGCCACATTTACAGCCATCAGGGATCAAGACGTGAACTTATCATTTGGGGGATACTACTCTACCCACAGCACTGGCCAGGTGCCCTGGGCAAGTCCCAAATTTGCCAGAGTCTAGATCTCCTGACCTTTAAGATGCACTTGCAGGGAGGTGGCAAAGACATCATCAAAGGAAGTAGGTGGAATCCAGTCACTTCTCAGCTTGAATTTCTCAACCTCTTCCTGTCGAGACCCACAGAACATTTCTGCAAGTAGAACCTCTAGCTGGCAGCTGCTTCTACCTCTCTCCCCACCCCTTTCCATCTCCCTCCCTCCCTCTCTCTCCTGAAATCAATTGGAGTGAGAAAGATAATATTCTAGCCAAAACCTAGACTCTGTGCTAATTCAGATTTTTTTTTTTAAATTAAGGAATCACTGGCGAAATATGCCACTTCACAACAAATCACAATTTTCGTGCAACTTGTCAATTGCCCTTATACAATTAGGAACTTTCAGTGTAGAGGACAGAAGTTACTCATGGAGCATTTGTCCCTTCACCCCTTCCCTAGAGCCCAGGTGGCAGAGCTCAGGTTCTGGCCCAAGTGCCAGCCCACTGTCAACTGCACAGCTGTGGGCAAGCTGTTCCGGCCCTCTGAGCCTCCGTTTCTCATCTGTGAGGCAACAACGTGACACCCTGGGGTCGTGAAGCCAGGTGGAGCCGAGCCTGTGAAAGGATCGCTTGGCTGGCCGGGGCAGAGGCTGGGGGCCAGGGGTTGCTGGGTGCTGGCCTGTTCATTCTTATCAATTCTCCTAAATGTCTCCAATTTTGTGCAATGTAAATAGAAGTAATAGAGGCAATTTGAGGCAAACTTGTTTACGTTGTACAAAATTGAAGACTTTTGGAAGAATTCTCCTGGGCAAGAGAGACTTCAACCTAAATCCAGCAGTCAAAGCCAACAGGCATTCCTTATGAGCTGGAAGGTTTTGCTGGTTCACAAGGGGTTGAGTGCTCTCAGAGACCTGGAGGTCAGCTCTCCACCCCAGAAGGCAGAGACCGGGGACAGGGCTGTCTGAGGATTCCCTGCTCAGAACACCCTGGGGAAGGCACAGACCCCTTGGAGCTGGAGAACCACAGCCACCAAGACCCAGCCTAAGAACCTCTAAGTGAATCAAAACTGATTTTGTTTGGAAAATGCCGCAGGAGGCTTTGTGACCTTGAAGACTTGGGTAGTGGAGATGCTGGCGCAAAGCCAGACCAGCCTCGCCTGCCCACTGGGCCTAAGACCTGCATCTCCACCCCGCCATCAGCACCCTCCAAGCCCACGGGTCTGCCTGCACTGTGCCTGGGCCTGCACACCTCTGCCCAGAATCCCGTCTGTTAAGTCACGACAGACAAAGCTGTTTGGATGCCCCCGATCCTCTGTTCCTATGATGCCCCCCCCAGCCCGTGATCCCTGCAAGCCCACCCTCCACTCCTTCCGTTTCCATTATGGAAACTGGAGCCCTTGTAAGAACTGGTGAAAGAAACCCTGAGTGGAGAGGATCCAGCGCCTTCCTGCCTCACAACATTTGGCCAATGAGAAACCGCACTGGAGGGGCTGAGCGGACCCCCCAGAAACCTGCCATATAACTATTGCCATTTTTCTTTCTCTATCACTCATTCAACATCACTCCTGTTATGATCTTTCATGTTGCTCCGAGGTCACTTGAACAGGGTGCAGCTCTCTCCAGGTGGACATGTTGGGTCTCTCTTGTCTCGTCTGTGAGGAGCTTTTTGTTCTTGTTTCTGCTGTCTCTCTCATTCAGTGGATGTGAAAAAGTGGAAAGGGCAAAAAAGAGACTTCTTAACACAAGGGACTCTAGAGCCATTTGGTGAACATCTGACAGGGGTGTGCAAGATGAAATGAGTTCCCTGAGGAGGGACACAGCTTCCAGGTCTGCTCGCCTGTCCCCTAGGGCCACCAGCCAAAACACCCTTCAGTGACCAGCTGTCCCAACCCAGAGTCCCTTGGGCACAGAAAGGGTCTTTCCTCTCAGAGCATGTGGCAGGACTCCTGGGTGGGGGTGTGGGACTGGTGCTGGACCCATGTCCAGTTGATAACAGGACACTTTCTAGAAGCCAAAGTAGCTTCTGCGGTGAACAGTAGCAGAAATGGCCACATTGTTACTCTTGCTGGTCTTATCCCTGGGAGTTATGGTTATATTTTTAAATGTGTGTATATTATCATATTATAATTCATATTACATATAATAGTATATTATATGATATAATTTATATATTTTGTATTATATATATGTTGTATATATATCTATAATCTGTAGAGGGATCTCCTCCTACCAGCAAATAAATACATATTGACAATGTTGTTTTAAATTAGAACAATTGATTTTTCGTCCAGTATTCCTAAATTTAGAATCAAGGGATTCAAAGAATATGGTCCCTTTTAGAGTCACCCAGAGAAGGAAGAGTCAGCTCTGGTTTCCCACTGACAAGACTTGTCTGAAGCCCACCCCATGGCTCCCCAAAACATGAACCATCTCACTAGTGTTGACTTGCACAAGACTCAAGCCAGTATCGGGGTAGTTTTGTTCCCACACTTTCCTTTTCCCATCCTGATGCTTCTAGAAGCACCTTGCTGTCTCATGCAGGGCAGACACACACGTCTCTGTGTTGCCCCCTAAAGGGAGCCCCAGAAGCCATCGCCAGGGAAACCGAGTCCTTTGGTCTCCAAGTCCTCGAGGGTCTCCAAAGACTGGTTTTGAAAACTCTGCAGAAAACAGAGGTAATTGAACGCTCCTCTCTGATAAGCTCTGTCTTTTACCCAAATACAAAGTTCCTCATTAGCTTTCCCTGGGGCTTTGAACTCCAAACAAAACCCGTCCTCCCCTGACTGACCACTGGAGCCCGGGCTGGGGCCCAGCCATCTCCCGTCAGCATTTCCTTTGTGCTCTGTTTTTAAGGTGTTTATAATGGAGCCTTTTCTCTGCTCCAGGCTCGCCCTCAGCAGTGGAATCCCAGTCTGGGAGGATGTTCTGCCACTTTCCAAATGCCACAGGCTCTTTTCTTCATGAGAGTAAAGCAAGCTGCTTTTGAGGACAGTTTCCAGCACTTCAGTAAGGACAGGTCAGTGGGAGAGAGACTGGTGCTCTGTGTCCCTGGGCAGTCAGCAAGGCCAGCAGGATCAGGCTGGGAAAGAGATTGGGGGAGGGGCCCCTATTGCCGGTTCCTCCCTCTCACCCAGATCCACCTAAGAGCTGGGTTCCCCAAAATCACTGGGAAGTTAAATGATGCCAATGCAAAGCCTTCTGTTTCTCCAAAGGAGTGTTTACACGATTCTGTGAGTCCCAGGCTAGCCCACAACCTTTGATTCGGTCCCTAGACTTGCTGGTTTCCTTCACCAATGACAGGAGGAAGGGGAGCTGGAGGGAAACGCAGAGGGGATGACATCTGTCTTCAGTGAATGTCCTTCCCTGCCATCGCTGAGCCCTTTCTTCCCTTCCTGGGTACCAGACCCTGAACTCCCCTCCGGAAGCCCACGCCTGGGCATCAGCCCAACAGGAGGAGAGAAAAGGGAAAATGCAAGACGACGGGAGTTGTGGGGAAAGAGAAAGCAGCACCCACCTACTCTTGGGAATTGACTTGCCAGGATCCAGAATGTTCAGAGCCTGGTTTCCTTCCCCCCAGGAGAGGCCATTTGTTCAGTTCAGAGGTTGACGTGTCCAGAGGTGATTCGCCCTCCCCTCCATACTTGGAAATGTCGGGAGACATTTTGGGTGGTCACAGTGGAAGGTGGAAGGGCTGCGGGGTAGAGGCAGAGACGCAGGTAAATGTCCTACAAGGACATTTTGCTGCAAGGGACAGCCCCTTACAACAAAGGATAATGGAGTCCAAAACAT